TTTGCCTCAGGGTCAAATCGAAATTCTTAACCAAATTTGAAATAAAAAATCAAACTTTTTTTTTTTTTTTTTTTTTCCAGTCGGGCAAGTGACCCCGGACTACTCTGGTAGCCTAGATTGTTACTATGCTTGTCCTGATTCACAATGTCATCACATATAGTTTATGATATATCTCCTTTTTTTTTTTCCCTCCTCCCCTCTTTCCCTTTGCACGTACATGCTCATATAATAGTTATTTACGTCATTGTAGAAAATAATATTTGCGATTGCACATGATAAAAACAATTATATATATGAGAAAACTACACGGCAGTCAGGATTTGAGTTTGAAAATGCACGTAAGCAGGGTTACCAGCCCGTACGTACGGAGGCCCCCAGGCGGACCTCCGTACGTTCGGGCGTTCGGGGTCCCGTACGGGGCTCGAACCCGACGGCGTTCGGCCCCCGCCAAAAATTATGTCGGGGCCTAAAAACATTGTTTTTTTTTATATTTATTTTTTATAAGTTCTCTATGACACGAGGTACATGCCTATAAAGTTTCAAGTCATTTGGCTTAGCCAAATGAGAATTAAAAATCGCCAAAGATGGCGGTATTAAAATGTGCTCGCCCACGTTTTTTTTCACTTTTTACTTTTTGTTTCCACTTTAGTTCGGGGTCTAAACAATTTTATTATTTTTTGAAACTTTTTTTGTGGGTTTTGTATTATGTGAAGTACACATCTATAAATTTTCAGGGCATTTAGCTACGCCAAAAAAAAAATGAAAAATCGCCAAAGATGGCGGTGTCGAAAATATGCTCTCGCACTCACTAAATTTAATTCTCTTTTTATTTTTATTTATTTTTATTATTAGTATTTATTCTATGTATTTTATTTTTATTTCAAATTTGGAAGGAATTCGGATGTAATGCTCAGGCAAATCTAGTTTAATTTATGTTTCGCCATAACATATCTTTTTTTTCAGATTTTTTGATGACTTCTTTTTTTTTTTTTTTTTTTTTTTTTTGCGTTCAGCCCGAACGGCTGAACGCATCCCTAAGGGGTCCCATACGTTCGGGCGGTCGGGTTCGGGCGTTCGGCCCGTCCTGAACGCTGGTTACCCTGCATGTAAGGCAAAAAGGCCGATAATGGTGAATATATATAACCTAGGTTTCGGGACAGGTGGGGTCCCGTGGGGGTGTGTTGTGTTCGCGGGATTGTCCGAAGTGCAATTTCAAACTATTTTCGTGACTGCGTCGAAGTTATCCCTATATGTATTTTGTTATATTACTAAAATAGTATAACAACCAGCTGAGCCGCCCGAGTCACCCTATTTTCTCAAACAGCCCGAACGTACAAGGACCGAAGGTCATAGCAAAAAAAAAACAAAAGAAAAAATAATAATAAAACAAAACCTAGGCTACCAGAGCGGTCCGGGACCAGTTACCTAGCCGAGAAAAAAAAACATAAAACAAAATATATAAAAATTATTTTTGAACTTTATTTTTATTTTAAATTTGGTAAAGAATTGCGATATAACCCTGAGGAAAAAGTTGTTCAGTTTAGTTTTCCACATAACATAGTTTTTTGTTCGGATTTTTTTTTTTTTTTTTTTTTTTGCTAGAACCTTCACTAGACCTTACATGACCGCGCCGTCTGGGAAAATAAGGTGACCCAGGCGGCCCGGCTGGTAGCCTAGAACAAAACTACGTTATGCAGAAAAATAAACGGAACAACACTTGCCCCGGCTGCAGCTCGTCTACAAATCTGGTGGAACTTTCTCTGTTATCGCTCGAACATGAGTTTCGACTCTTGAGTACCCGATTACTTTCTTTTTAAATGTGTTGGCTAAATCCGTGGACAAAATGGCCTCGGAGTGGGAAATGTATCGGGACGTAGGACGAGGATAGGAAGGCTAGGTAGCAGGATTCTATCGGAAAAGAATCGGAAACCTACTAGAATAAGAGAGACGACAATCGTATTTAACGATTGACAGTCGCCGACTCACCATGGAGGTGCATAACCCCCTAGCAAAGTCGGTCCTGGCACCTACAGAAACACGTTGGGGAATGTTAGAACGTCGGCAGTGTCAAGGGCGTGTGTAGTGGGGAGTGTTTCGATCTACCTGACGACCATGGTGGGAGTAGAAGGCGTTTGTTCGTACTTCTTTCAATATTTCGCAATTTGACCCTCCTGGGCTTTGGCCAAAGATTGCTTTGTATCATTATTGCATGAGTGTGCTGGTACAATGTGTTTCTCTTGGCTACGGCGACCTCATTTCGCCCTCTTATTCCTCCTCTTTACTACATTTAAAATAAAAAAGAAAAATAGGCAATATTTTTTATTATTTTACTAGCCTACCAGAGTGGTCCGCGTCCACTTGTCTCGCTGGGCAAAACAAAAATAAAAAAATAAAAAAAATAAAAATTATTTTTATTTTTTATCTTTTTAATTTGATAAAGAAGTTTGATGTAACCCTGAAACAAAAGTTGTTCTGTTTATTTTTTTGCGTAACCTAGTTTGTTTTTGGAATGTTTTTTTTTTTTTTTTGAACCTTTCCTTATCCTTGCACGGTCGGGCCGCCCAGGAAAATAGGGTGACCCGGACGACCCGACCGGTTGCCTAGTTATTTTATTATTATTGTTATTTTTTTTGTCCGGCCAGGCAAGTGGCCCCGAGCCACTCTAGTAGCCTAAATAACAACTATATTACAATATTCATGCAACCGAACAAGACACTTGAACTTTACATAACGATAATATATCTATATCATACATATGACAAAATGAACAAAAAAGTGCAAAATTGAATCTTCATTTTTTTATTTTTTTTGTCTAAAAATAATAACCAACATATTCATTTTTTGTTTAGAGGTGTTGACCTCTTTTGACCTTTTTAATGAGTTGACCGAAAATGCAAACAAAACTGAAAAATATAGTCGTGGGGCTGAAGGTAGACATATAAAGGCATAAACAACTTATATACCATACCTTACACTGTGTTAACATATCATGAAACTACCTGTTATCAGGGTTACCAGACCGAACGTTCGGAGACCCCCGCGCTGGCCGCTGAACGTTTGGTCATTCGGGGTCCCGTTCGGGGGCTGAAGACCTCTAGGTTCGGTCCCCGCCAAAAAATAATTCAGGGACTAAAAAAATGTTTTTTTTTCTGAAATTTGTTTTTTGAGCTCTCTATGATGTAACCTACACGCCTATAAATTTTGAAGCCATTCTGCTAAGCCAAAAAAATATTAAAAATCGTCAAAGATGGGGTGTCAAAACGTGCTCGTCCACTCACTATTTTGTTTTTTTTCATTCTTAACTTTTTGTTTTCACTTTATTTTGGGGGCTAAAAAAAATTATTATTAAAAAAAATAAAATAATGAGCTATTGATTATGTAAACTACATATCCGTAAATTTTCAGGGCATTTGTCAATGTCAAAAAATAATTAAAAATTGGCAAAGATTGCGGTGTCGAAAAGGTGCTCGCACACTCACTCATTTTAATTCTCTTTTTATTTTTTCTTATTTTTATCACATTGTTTATTTTTTATATTTAATTTTTAATTCAAATTTGGTAAAGAATTTGGATACAGTGCCCAGACAAATGTTGTTTAGTTTATTTTTCTCCATAACATACGTTTTTTTGGGAATGTTTTGAAAACGTTTTTTTTTTTTTTTTTTTTTTTTTTTTCTGCATTCGGCTCGAATGGCCGAACGC